CCCCAAAACCCCAAAACCCCAAAACCCCAAAACCCCAAAACCCCGGCCTTAAGGTAGGTAATAGAAATTAATTTATTAGATATGTACCCAAGTGTTAATATGGCGAATCTTCCAGGTACTTTGTCATGCTTGTTAATGCTCTGAATTTATCTTTTAAGAAGATTGAAGGTTTCTCATTGAACCCTACCTTAAAATCTCTTCAAGATGCTAAATATCCCTGAGACTATATTCCTAATGAGAGTTTAGGATCTTATTCAGAAATTCCAATGGTCCCAAATCATCAAGCTGCATTTCCAACTTTGAACTGAGTCTCAAGTTTCCTTTCAGACATCCCTACACTACAAGTGATTCTCAAGGACTACTGATTCTGCGATGCTCCATTAACGACAAAAAGCATGCCGACTCAGCAATGGGGAACCTCTCATCAGTACATCCATCCTGGCCTAGACTCAAAGGTAAGGCTTTTATATAACAACGATTCAAAAATAGGTTTATGGTGAAATTCTTTCTCTTATTTATAATTCGTGTAGGACTAGACTATACAGTTATTTTTCATATTCTCCGCTTCATATTAGATGAAGATGCTTTCATTACTCACAAAGTCCGTAAATACTTCCTCTGTGGTATTTTAGATACTTTATGGTGTCTTCCAAGATGACAAATCCTCTTTTGAATTTTGGCCGTCTATTGTGAAATAGGTGAACTTTTAAAATACTATGATTTCTCATATTTTTCGAGAAAAAACTCTACAAATACTTACTACAAGGGATCCTATATGGGCTCTAAAATAATTAATGTTAGTGGCTTTGTTATGGGTAAGAAAATACCTACCTCTTTGTTCTAGAGAATGTTTTGGAATGCCATTTTAAAAAAGTTAGTCTGATGTCTACTTATTTGATTGAAAAGTAGTTACTCTATACTTATCCAAACACTTATTATTTAATGATCCTGCTGAGAGGGATTTATACACTGATAAGTGCTTGAAAGTTATATAATAACATTTCCCTTACATCTTTTTAGAGAAGTTTGCTTGAAATTAGTAATATAATCTGAAAAATTATGAGTAAACCATAATGTTCAACTTTGTAAAATAAGTCTAAAGCTCTGGATAATGCTAAAACCTTCTTAGAGTCTTGGAATTAGGTATTAATCTTTCCCTAATTCAGAGTCTGGAGTTGTGTAACACCATATTGGATAATACTTCAATTAGAAGGTGAAACCTGGTAATTTAAGTAAATTTAGAGTCGAAATTCTTCTGCCTTTGTTAGAAGTTTTCAGATGATTTTAAAACTGCCAGTCTAAACTTTTAAGTGGAAGTTGGATAAAAAGTAGCTAAAATACGAATCATTTTATCAATTTGATTTCTAAACCCCATGTTATTTTTAGAAAGATTAAGACTTCAAGCTTACTCTATCTTGCTTTTGTGTTTGGCTTAATTATAGCCTTTTAATAATAACTAATCAACCATATTACTAATTTTCAAACCTGAACAAATTTATAAAATCCTTTGTATGAACAAGAGCTTCTACATCTCCTTCACTCATTTCCTTCAAGGGTGTATAGTAGCGAAGTCATTACTTGAAAGACTTCCAGAATGGTAGAAGGAGTTATTAAGTATTAAATCGGTCGGCCTGAGAGCTAGTAATACCTTCAGATGGGAACTATAGCTTCCCATCTTTTCCATAATTAGTACTCCCAGGCATGAAATTTAGGAGGTTTGGTTATAAAAAGTTTGTAATATAGTGCACTCAAGTCGATTTCTGGGAAAGTTATATATAGCTAATGGGTGAATGGAGAGGTGAAAGCCATAGCATAAATTAGTGAAGTTAGGCAGCGTTTTGTGAATGGGACCTAGCGTATGCATACAGTTATTTCCTTAAGAGTAGAGGTTTTTCATTTATGTACTGAGGAAATTTTATTAGCGAAGAGTCTGATTTAATTGAGACACATATTTTTCGAAAGATATCATCGCAGCTTTCTTGTAGAAGAAATTATGCTGAATAACTACAAAAAGTATTAAAATTAAGTGTATTTGTAAACTCTATCTTTTCCTGGTGAACAGGGGATAAATTTTTGTTAAAATTAGGATGTAAACCTTAAAATTAACTAAGTTGAGTTTTACTTTCATCAAAGTGCACGAAATAAAATTTGCCTCGCTTTCTGAAATCTCTAGTATAGTTATTTCTTCAGTTTAAGTAGTCCCAAACTAAAATTACTTTAAAAGCATTCGTATTCACTATGTTATTCACGATCTCTTTTGTGTTATTGAAGCTAAATACAAAAAGCTTCTAATTTCTCAGTAATGCAGATGGATTAGTAGTTCGCTATTCTGAAGCCTTCTGATCTCTAATTCTGCTGCAGGCTTACTAGCAAGTCTTTAAAAATGTAGTGTTTATGGAGAGTTTAGATTTTCATTTGATTCCTCCAAAGAACTCTATATGAGCCAAGGAAGATATAAAATATGTCCAAATTGATTTTTAATGACTATCAGCAGTTTCCAGAGCTCTCTCATCCTCTTTTAGCTCAATCAGAAGGGAGAACTCATCATTTCTAAAAGCTTCTAAGTTGTGTGAAATTTTTAGAATTTATGAGAATATGACATTCCAAGGTCATACCAATGATTAATCCCAGATTTCAAACTTAATATTATTAATTTCCAATGCTGAACACTATCTCACCTGTTAATTTCTCTTTCATCCATATTTAGAACTCTCTGAAGTCCTCTGGACTAATCAGAGAAACATAGGCTCACTCGCTATGAGTTTTCTAAAAATACCTTATTTCGAGAACTTCCCTTAAAATCTGGAGGATGTCTTAAAATATTATGCACAAATTGGAGGACGCAAATTTTTACTCCTAGATGCAGACTTCAGGAATGGTCTTTTAAGAACGAAGGCCTTCCTTCCAAATAGGACTACTTATTTATTCCCTGCTCTAGGACGAAGAGGGGCTTATAGTTATTAGATAAACAGTTTCACTTTTGTAAAGTCTCTTAAATATATCCCTAACCTTATTATGAATTTGTAACAATTCCTCTTGTTGACACATACAGAAATAGATGTCTGAGATACTCTAGAGCTATAAGCTGCTAGGGAGATTAATAGAAGTCAATAAGTCTCATTTTTCTAGAAGCCGAGGGTTACTGCTAATAAAATCTGAGGTGTCACTGTTGTCCAAGAGGAAATCAATATTTGAAATTAAGAATTACTATCTGATAAGACTTTGCTAATCGGCTGGGTAACTCTAGTTGTCTATATCGATAAACTTGTTATATTAAAGCGTAGGAAATGAAGAAAATTTATTTTAAACAAGTATTATCAGATAATCGGAAATATTAAACAAGCCTAATGAAATCTTTCCTTGAGAGAACTCATAAAGTCTTCATCTTTAGCCTTTGCAGCAAATTTCATGACCATATCGCTTAAATTTGCCTCTCAATATCAGTTTTGTTTGGTTTTATTATTTTTAACTTCTTCAAAACAATCGGGTACTACGAGTTGTATAAAAAGTTGGACATTTATCCCATGCTGACTTTATAATCCCAAGCCCAGCCTGGTAGACTATCAACGAGGTGATATAGTAAAACTAAAAATAAATTTTATGGATTATTACTTTTCATATCGCTATATTTTTAAAGATGAGAGTAAAGAAACTTTAACTAATTTTAATGAATCTTCTGTTAAGTTGAATTTTGCCCATTTCCTATTCACCCTTTTCTATTCTATTTTTATAAATTATCAAACTCTATGCTTTGGTGGTAACTTGGAAATATTTTATTCCAAATTTTTATATCAAATGATGATGAACACAAGGCATAGAGAATGTTGTTTTTGGAGATGTGAATTTTGGCAATATTTTGAATTCTATTAACTTTATTTTTTTAATCTAAACTTCTTTAGATACTTGAAGAGAACAGAGTTGACCCAAAAATTCTCTCCCTCTACTCCAACATCAAAGACAACAAGTCTAAGAGTAAGTGCTTTAGCCTTCAAGTTCTCCTCTTCCCCCGTCTAACTGAGTCTAGCCGTGAGTGCAAAAGCCGACAAAGTATTCATGTGTTCATTCGGGAACTGCAGAAAAGTCTTCTACAAGAAATGGAACTTCAGCCTCCACATGAAGATGCACTACAAGATCAAGCAGTTCAAGTGCCAGGCATGCGGCAAAGAGTTCACTCAGAAGTGCAACTACAACAAGCACATGAAGACTCACAGTTGTTCTTAATTCCTAAAATTTCAATCAACTTTGTTCTTGGGAAGAGGTTTTTAGATTTCAAAAAATAACTTAAAAAGTAGTAAAATGCTGATTTATTGATGATTGTATATCTTAATGAACCTACTCTGAAGCAAGAGCAGAGGTATCTAGAGACCATCTCAACATTTAGATATTTGATTTTTAGTGAACACCACTATTTTTATGGCTGGTTTGATTCTTTGTAGATTCCTTGATCATTAGTATGCTGAACTCTGGGAGAAATTTGAATGATTAAAATTTTGCTATATCTATGATCACTTATAATAGAAGGAGAGACTTCCTTCATTTCTCTCAAAAATTATGCCTTGGTAAACTCTGAGTTCTTAGAAAGGAGAAGAACAGTTTTTATTCAGTTGTTTAATCCCGAGAAATAGTTCGATAGAAAACCGAATCTGAGCTGTAAAAACACATCAGGGCTAACATTTAGGCATGATATCTTCAAGAAAATTCAATAAATTATAGAGGAATTCCTGTGCTTCGTTCTGAATATAAAGCTGCAAGGAGTTATCCAAATTTTGGTTATACTTTTTTAGCAACTTTTCCGATCATTTCAAAGATGTTATACAAAAATTGTTGAATTAAAAAGGGGAGGATTAGAAATTTTGCAAGACATTCTTAAGGAAGCCTCATGCTAATTTAATATTTTTCTGTGCTTTAAATAGTATTTAGGAGGATTTTTCATTGCTTTCATGTTCAACTTTGATAAAAATAAGGCAAATTCCTCTTCTTTTTCAAGAGTATGTTAGAAATATGAGACCCTATTTGATTTCTTCATATATCACAAACTTCAGGATAAGTCTTTGGGGAAGCCCAGCTTCAGAAAATAGTTTTTCAATGAGAAAAGATATCTAGAATCATCCCTCCTTCTAATTCGGCTGATCAAATCATTGAGTATTATGAAGAGTTTTAGGGTTGACTTATTTCAAACTATATCACTTTTCCTACTAGCAGTTCAAAAGCAATGATATCTATATTTGAGAGCCTATCTGATGATCATATGCTTGTTTCCCCAAAAACTCTTATATGAGACTTCCAGTTTCAGATTATGTTTTTAAAGTTTGCTGAGAAAATTATGGTCTATCGCTTTGAAAAATTCCCATACAGTTTTTAAAACTTAGAAACTTTGCATATAATGGAGATGCTTAACTTTAAAGCCGAACTAGTAGAGACTTCAGAACAAAAGATCCATATTTTAAGAATAGAGATCCCATTTAGAATGTGGTCCGACTGAATGAATCTGTGAGAGACAACATTTGCTCATTTAGAGTTTCTCAAAAGTTCTTCAACTTATTTGGCAACTTATTGACTTCGAATAAACCATCTAACCTTAAAGGATGTCTATAACTAAGACTTGCCCAGAGAGAGAAATTAGAAAGAGAGATCGTGAAGTTATCAGTTGATACGAATATTGGCACTAAATTTATAAGTCCCCTTTGAAAATGGTTCACTTCCATATTGCTTTCACTTATTTAATTATTTAGTATTAAGCTGCGAATTAGATTCTGAAAAACCTCTTGATTTGAGATGCATATCTCCTTAATTTCCTCTAGACTAGCTTTGGCTCCTGCACTAATCAAATTCCTTAGAGGCGCATGTAGCCTTAAGAGACTGAAAGAAATAGGTAAATTTGCTCATGATTGTATTGAAGAAATTATAAGTTCTTATGTGAAAATGAGGATGATGAGAATAGCATTAAATAAAGTTTTATTCTTTTGTTCCAGACCAAGAGAGAAGTTTTTACTTAATAAGCAATCTTGATTCTGTACTTTACAAAAGTTATTTAGATCTCTGAGTGAAAATAGTAGAGTGAGCAATCATACGATAAAGCCATGGTTCTAAAACAATTTTCTTAAATAGATGTTCAGAGTAAAACTACTACTATTGCGGGATATTAAGGATCAGTTTTGAGACTCTGGGCTTATCAAATATGGAAGAGGATGCTCACCCAGCTTCTGAGTGCAGCTTCTGAGATTCTGAGGGTCTTATATCCTCCTAAGTGGTTTGCTTAGACTACAGCCCCTCAAACTCTCAGAACCTCCTCTCAGAATTTGGGTAATCATCCTCCTCCACATTTGATAACCCCCAAAGTCTCAAAACCCATCATTACCCCCAAATACCAAAAGCTGCAAATCTAAACATAACCCCAAGAACCAACACACCACCAAAATAACCTCTAACACCACCTCTAACCCCCCTATTAACCCCTATCCCCCTCTTTTTCCCTCTCTTCCTTAATTTCAACTCCATTTTCCCATCTCGGGGTTTTGGGGTTTTGGGGTTTTGGGGTTTTGGGG